CAAAAAAACTGCTTTTATTTTATGTTTCTATTTTAAAAGTGCTCAATGTTTTCCTCCTCTTTAAATGAAGGGGGATAAGAAAATGTGCTCACCTTAAACTGAGCTCCAAACTTCCTCAACTCCTCGAGCTGATTCCTCTTTTGCTCATTTTGGAGACCTAGAGCAGTGCAATTGCCACAATTGAAGAGTAAGAACTCAAAACCTTGAAGAGCATTTTTGTATCAATCTCCAAGTTCTGTTAAAATTTTTCAAATCTGATACTCTAATGGGAGTAATTGGCTGAGGATTAAGGGAGCTGTATTCCTATAAATACAGATGGTATTGGTTTCTGGTGGCCAACTGAATTATATGCACCTGATAAGATTTTTTTTTTTACTTAGCAGTGATTATTCAATTTTGTATTAATATTCCACTTTTCTGAATGAGTAAGGGGATGTTATTGGGGTGGGGATGGTGTAATCAAGTCTTCCTTCATTTATCCCCAGGACAATCCTATAAGTTACACTGAGATGAAGTAGCTGGCTCAAAGTCAACCAGTGAATTCTGAGTTTATTAATTAACTGTTTAGTTCATTTAGAATAGGATAGGATTCTTTATTGATCAGGTATGATTGCACACACAAGGAATTTGTCTCCTTGTATGTGGACTGTGCCTGACTTAGTTCATAATTTTAAAAAACAGCAATGTGCAAAATATAATGTATCATAGAAAATATGCAAAGCAACTCCAATCTGACAATTAGCGTAACAAGCAAAAAGCTCAAAGAGTCAAAAGAAACAAACCTTTGCTAGTCTGCTTGACCAAGTCTGAGGGCCCCATAATTTCTACAGTCCTGCCAGCTTCTTTGGTGGCAGAGTTAGGCACCTCTTTAACTAGAAGAGGAAGGAAAGGGTTAGGAGGCAAAATGTATGCTACGTTTTACAACCAGATACAGGGCAAGGAAATAGGACAAAAACTTGAAATGCACTTGGAAAATATGGCAACTTTCCAGAGCCTCACCATTTATTCAAATCCCATGTTCTCTTTCTTCAGACAGACAATAATTTGTTTAGTATTCTAAAATCTTTTCAACTGATCAAACCTATCAAGTAATTAAAAACTGTAAAATCTCAAATATTCTTCTTACTAGGATAAAACAGGAAGAAAGAAAAAACAGCGAGAAGTTTATAAGTCAACAATCTTTCCAAGCAGCAAGTTTCAAAAATCTAAACAAAATCCGCAACAGTCTCAGAAACATTTAAATCATATGACACATTGAGGAGTTTGATGCAGCACATCTGGGATTATCTGGCCAGCTAACACCTATAGGTTGCTTTGGTTTAGGTCCATCCTTAGTTCCTTCTACCAAACCTGCTTTACTTCCCAGTTTAAGTACTTACCTTCAACAGCAGCTACTGGGTTAGATGCTGGGACTTTAGGTGAAGGTGGGGTCGGGGAAGCACTAGATTCCATGGTAGTTCTTGACTCAGAAGGTGATGCAGGAGCAATAGGGATAGCTGATCCCACAGGGGGATCTTGGGAAGAGACTGGAACAGTTGAGGCAGACTTCGGTGAACGAGGAGGATAGAGACGGCCCACTATACAGTAAAGATGCATTAGATTAGGGCTAATATATGAAGTTTTTTTTAAATCAAGGCGCTCACAAAAAAAAACAAAAAACGGGTTCATTGCTTATACGTGCTTCTACCTGTAGGAGATGCAGCAGAGACTTCCATGGGTCGGCTGGTTGGGGAAGACATATTCTTGGCCCCTCGATTGGGTCGTTGAGACTTTGGAGACATTCTAGATGGACCTAAATCAAACAAGACACATACAAAGAAAACAAAATGTTCTTTTGACAACTATGGCTCTCCCTTACTAGTAAACAATGGAAATCCTATCATGCCAATGAAATTAGCAGGTACCTAATTGCAACTGGCATTTACAAATTGACTAATTGAGAAATTTAAAATAAATGAATGGTGATTAAGTCAATCCACCAAATGGAACTCTTATCTACAAGAGACAAACTAATGAATGTGGTTAAGTGACTGATCCTATGGCCTGTACAAATATGGGGATGAATGGGAAGAGGCAGGAAATGCTGCACCCTATCCAGAGAAGAGAGGCAAGGGAAAAGAAAGGTCACAAGGACTCAGGATGAGATGCAGTAATCCTGGTTCCAGGTTGTAGGATAGCAAGACTGAACAGGGGCAACTGAAGGTGAGCATGAGATCAGTGGAAGAGTAGAAGGCTGCTTCAGACACAGCTAAACTGAGCAAAGTTGTCACTGATATTGTTATTGCTCAGTGTTACTGCACCGAGCAGAGGTGGTGCAGTGGTTAGAGTGGACTACTACAAGCTACTGCTAGCTGCAGTTCAGCAGTTCAAATCTCACCAGCTCAAAGTTGACTCAGGTTGGTAAAATGAGGACCCAGACTGTTGGGGGCAATTCGCTGACTCTGTAAACCTCTTAGAGGGCTGTAAAAGAACTATGAAGCAGTATACAAGCCTAAGTGCTATTCCTATTGCTTCTCCTTATTTTCAGCCAGCATTTTCAGTGAAGGCACTTTGTGAAGACCAACAGAGCAATGTCTTTTGCAAGAAATTAGCCTTGGATCATTTTTTTCTGAGGTCTTTCATAAGCTGTTTGGGCCTCAAATCTAATGTCTCCCCATTTGCACTACATCTCTTCCTTTCTTCTTTGACTCCTTCAATTTAGAATCCTTTTTTGATCCCATACACTATAAACTGTGTCACTTCATTTTTTTCTTTATCTTTCAATGCTACTACCTTCTTATTGTTATTGTTCTCCATAGCACATTTATTTATTTATTTGTTTATTTATTAGACTTATATACCGCTTCATNTTTTTTTTGTAGGTAGGTGACATGATTAGAAGTTAGATAGGATAGAAAGAAAATGCTTTTTAATAAAGGACAGGATTAAAAGTTAGAATAAGAAATAGAAATAAGAGAAAAGGGGAATATTAGTGTATACACTTAATAAAATAAGAGCAATAGTAAAAAAACGGAATAATTGAATGATAGATTGCAATGTTATATAAATATGTATTACTACTGTTTCCCCCAAAATATGACATGTCCTGATAATAAGGCCATGCCACATTTTTCTGGTGGGCAAAATATAAGCCCTCCCTCGCAAATAAGCTCCCTGGACAACGCAACACCTCCGGCCAGGCAGAGTGCCGCTCACCAACCAAGAGGTATCCTGAAGGTGCCAAGCTACGGGAACTGGGGGGGGGGGGAGGGCAAAGGTGACCGTTAGGTTGGTGAGCAGCGCAGTGCCCAGCTGAAGAGGAGTGCCTGGCGGCTGCTCTCTTGCTAGCAGGCTCCCGAAAAGCCAGGCACAGCCTCATGGGCAAATGGCTGTGTTGCGCTGTCGCAGCAGCACAACATAACAGCCACGAAGCGACCACGCTCCCGAGCAGCCACCCAGCAAACCCCCTTTCCAGCCGGGCACAGCGCCATTCACTGTCCTAGGGGTATCGCCAAGCCGCGTGCCTGTTCACCACCGCCCAGTTCCTGTGGCTTGCTACCTTCGAATTGCCAGTAAATGGCGCTCTGCACAGCTGGAGAGGGGAGTTGCGTGAGCGGCTGTTCCACTCCCGCTCGCGCACCTCCCAGTCTCACGATGCCCTGGCCCAGCTCTCCCCGCAGAGCCAGAGCACCTCCGCTGCCATCCCAACATGACTTTTTCGGCGGCTTCCAAATCGAGTCTTCCGGCACAGGCTGCTCTGGATGTACACTCTATGGTTGTGGCCCAGCTGTCGGCAGAGTGTACACCCATAGAGCGTACGCCCAGAGCGGCCACTGCTGAAAGACTCAGTTTGGAAGCTGCCAAAAAAGCCATGCTGGGATGGAGGCAGCGGCAGTGCTCTGGCTCTGCAGGGAGAGCTGGGCCAGGGCATCTCCAGCCGTACAGAGCGCCATTCACTGGCATTTTGAAGGCGCCAAGCTGTGGGAGCCGGTCGGGGAATAGGCGCTCACACGGCTTGGCGATACCCCTAGGTCAGTGAATGGCGCTGTGCCTGGCTGGAAAGGGTTTGCCGGGTGGCTGCTCGTGAGCGTGGTCACTTCATGGCTGTTGTGTTGCACTACTGCAACAGCGCAACAACCATTCGCCCATGAGGCTGTGCCCAGCTCTTCGGGAGCCTGCTCGCAAGAGAGCAGCCGCCCGGCAACCCCAAAACAATAAACCCTTCCCTCATAATAAGGCCCAAGCCATATTTTATGGGTAAAAAGAAAATGAGACCCTGTCTTATTTTTGGGGAAACACAGTATTAAAAATACATATATAAGTTGGTTGAAAGTAATAAATATGACTAATGCTATTAGTTTTATTTATATTAGAATGATTTATACCCAGGTACCACACTGTTCACGCATTGATATGTTTGTAAAAAATAAAAAGTGTGTGTGTGTGTGTGTGTGTGTGTGTGTGTGTGTGCATGCGCGCGCACGTGCGGGCGATGTTTTCCATGGTCAAGAATGCTGCCCCTTTTCCCTTCCCAGGGTCTGGCATAATCACCTGAGTGACATGGGCCATGTTGGTGTATCCGTGCTGCAGCTGCTGATGGGCATGAATGGCATAAACTGTTGGCTGTGGGAAACCGCTCTGTGGAGACTGAGCGCTGGGCCCCGGGGTTATGGATGGTGGTGTAGCCGTCAGTGTAGCTGTGTGATATAAGTTCTGCTGCTGCTGAGCACTGGCCAAATGAGGGGGCTGTCCACCTTGGTGCTATAGTAGAAAACACAAGTCACACTTTCATTACCAGAGTTTGCATTAGTTTTTCTTTTTATATTATTTCAAAAGAATATGTTTGTATTTTATAGAGAAAAGTAAGATTTGAAACTTAGGTTAGCATACACTTATCTGTGGATAAATGGAATGACTAAATGTTTTAATGACATTAACATTCTTATTAAATTAGCTTTCCGGTTCTCTGATCTTCTTTATAACACATAACCCTCTCACTCATTGATCATGTCATAGATTTAAATTATTCACATCTGAATATAAATTCCTAGAGAAAGTACCTTTATTTAGAGATCATATCCAAAAAAGCTACTTGTCAGTTATGGTGGGTAGGTTCCAACTACCCACCTGTCCTCAGTTCTGCATTTCCATTGCAGAAAACACTCCCCACCCCCTCAATTTGATTTATATTAATACCCAAATCAAAAGTAGTTGCAAAGCAGCATCTTGTTTAATTCCTAGATCGCCTTCCCCCCAAATAAAGCATGCAAGGATTAATAAGTTTGTCCCTGGTGCT